ACTTCTGAACCTGGAACTTGATATCTGCTAATCTTAGCTATTCAGTAATATTTGTTTTGTGGCAACCGGCCAAGTCAAATTGGATGCTCTGCTATTGGCCAAACGAATGCTCTTGTTTGAGATATGTGATTAACAAGAAAATGCAGCTCTGCAGGTGCATGACAACAGTGCAGAAGTCTTTGTGTTCAAAGTTTCCACTCAGACCAACATTTCAAAACCATATATGTCTGCCTGCCTGCCTGTCTAATATGGCAATTCCCAACATTTCATTATAGTCTAGCATTGGCAGGAAAGAACACAGATGAAGCTACACAAACAATGCCTGAGGTCAGGGGTGCATAAATTTTACATGCAACAAGGGAGTAGTTTGAGATTATGGGAGCTTCATTAACAAAGACTCCGAAGTTCCTGATTAAGTGAGCTGTAGTCCAAAAACACAGGATGTGGGTGGCGATGTGGTCTAAACCACTGAGCCTCTTGGGCTTGCCCATCAGAAGGTTGGCAGTTCAAATCCCCATGACGGAGTGAGCTCCCGTGGCTCTGTCCCAGCTCCTGCCAACCTAGCAGTTCGAAAGCATGCCAGTTCAAGTAGATAAATAGGTGCTGCTGTGGCGGGAAGGTAAATGGCGTTTCCGTGCACTCTAATTTCCTTCACGGTGTTCCGTTGCACCAAAAGCGGTTTAGTCATGCTGGCCACATGACCCGGAAAGCTGTCTGCGGACAAACGCCGGTTCCCTCAGCCTGAAAAGTGAGATGACCACTGTAACCCCATAGTCACCTTTGACTGGACTTAACCATCCAGGGGTCCTTTACCTCTTACCTTTTTTGAGTCCAAAAACATTTGTAAAACAGCTTGAAGTTTTCAGTTTCCCTCACTTTCTCATTTTTCCAATATTAAATTCAGTGTGGTGTAATGGTTAGACTTAGAGTGCTGAGGTAGGGCCTGGGGCACCAGGGTTCATAATCCCCACTCAGCCATGAAGCTCATGGGGTGACCTTGGGCCAGTCACCATCTCTTGGTCTAACCTACCTCACAGGGTGGTTGTGAGGATGAAATGGGGAGGAGGAGGACCATGTACACTACCTTGAGATTGTGGAAGATACAGTGGTACCTCAGGTTACATACACTTCAGGTTACAGACTCCGCTAAGCCAGAAATAGTGTTTCAGGTTAAGAACTATGCTTCAGGATGAGAACAGAAATCGGGCTCCAGCGGCGCGGCAGCAGCAGGAGGCCCCATTAGCTAAAGTGGTGCTTCAGGTTAAGAACAGTTTCAGGTTAAGTACGGACCTCCGGAACGAATTAAGTACTTAACCTGAGGTACCACTGTAAAGGCATTTAAGCAATTTCGTTTATATTTCACCAAACTTACACATTTTTTGTATTCAATTTTGCCCAATATACATATTTTTGCAAGCAATTTCCCTCAATATAATGCAGTTTTATATGCTATTATCACCATGTGCATTTTTGTGAAAACATCCCCCATTTTGTACGCATTTTTGACTGTACACTTGCATCACAAAATTAAAATGCAGACAGAATAATCTCCCCAAGTGTGAGCTGTTGGAACTTCTCCTACAGAGGTGCTGTCAGCAGTCTTGTAGAGTGGGTACTACTCTTTCCCAGAACGTCACTAAAACTGCTCACCTTGGGAAGGTTGACCAACAGAAGGGTTTGACAGAACCAAACATTTGTTTGCAGAGAGATGTGTGCAGGCATCTATAGGCAAACGAAGTACAGTACAGTGGTACCTCAGGTTACATATGCTTCAGGTTACATACGCTTCAGGTTATAGACTCCGCTAACCCAGAAATAGTGCTTCAGGTTAAGAACTTTGCTTCAGGATGAGAACAGAAATCGTGCTCCGGCGGCGCGGCAGCAGCAGGAGGCCCCATTAGCTAAAGTGGTGCTTCAGGTTAAGAACAGTTTCAGGTTAAGAATGGACCTCCGGAACGAATTAAGTACTTAACCCGAGGTACCACTGTACATACATCACAAGACTAGAATAGTATGCATTTCTCAGATTTCTCCTGTTGGCATTGACCCACAGGTCAGCTTGTGGTATTGGGGAAATCTACTTCCTTCCTTGTAAATACCGTGAAGTCAATTGTTAAATGACCTCTGTAGCTCTCTGCTAGGATTTTACTATTTAAGCAAATGCCTTTCTCTCTTTCCTTCCCCTTCATTTCCTTGGTCCCCCATTTGACATCTTTTAGGCCAACCCTTCCCCAATGCCTTCCATATGCTTTGGACTACATTTCCCATCAGCCTTGACCACTGGGCATGTTAGTTGAGAGTTGTGGTCCAAAATCCCTGGAGGCACCACATGGTGAGGGCTGCCATATATGAAAGAATTAAAGAGCCATTGTCCCTGAGCATCATTAACAAAACAACAGACAAGAGATTATCATTCATTATAGTGTTCTAGATCAGTGTTCTTCAACAGATTGAATATCAGGGTGCAAAGGATGAGTGTGCTTGAGGCTATCCGTCTAAGGATGTGCTGTTGATGTTCAGTGATCAATTCTTGTTAATGTTGATTGGTTGATTCATATATTGTATATTTTAAACTTTGTTGTGTGTAGCTTCATCTGTGTTCATTCCTGGCAATGAGAAGGCAGTGATGGTCATCTGAACAGATGGTTTTAAAAGAGGATTGGGCAGTATGTACCTTACAGTTACTTTTTGTAACTGACAACCCAATAATGTGTACTCTGTGCGTGTTTTTGTTTTTGTTTTTATGTTATGTTATTTATGGTGCTACTGTTGAAAACCAATAATTGGGTATCACCCAGTATGTCTGATCTGACATCATAGCAGTCACAAACAGTATTGAAAATGGGATTGTGTAATCATGATTCTATAATCATAAGAACATCTGGAACAGCCCTGTGTAAACCAAGGATGGGGAATCTGTGGTCCTTCAAATGTGGCCGGACCACAACACCCACCATCTCAGAGTATTGGCCATGCCAGCTGGGGATGAACTCCAACATCATCTGGGGTACCAAAGGCTTACACCCTTCCCTTAGTGGCTGGCAGTGGGACAGAGTAATCTGTGGGGTAAATGGCCATATCCCAGCATCAACTGATTTCACAAGCATAACAGAAGAGAGAAGGTTAAGCACGTACAGTAAATTAATATCAGTTTTTTATAGTGGGCTGAAGATGCTGGTAAAATATTCTCAGTAAAGAGAAATTATGCTAAGCATGAGGATGTGAAAAGATACTATCATCTCTTAGCCCAGCTCTACCAGTATAAATATCTGCCTGTCTTGGTCGTAGGCATCCATATTTGGTTCCTGCCAGCACCATGAAGACACTGAGTGCTTTCTTGCTTGTGGGTTTCCTAGTCCTTTGGTCAGGGATGTCCGTATCGGGTACAATATTCTTCAGAGGTAAGTTCCAAAGGCACCTTCTGGAGCAAGTGGTAGCCAGAGATACAGGTGAGAAAGATCCTTTTGCTTCCGCTAAGGATGGGTATTGTCATAGGTGGGGGACCTGTGGCCCTCCAAATACCGTATTTTTCACTCCATAAGACACACTTTTTTCTTTCTAAAAAGTAAGAGGAAATGTCTGTGCGTCTTATGGAGCGAATGCATGGTTCCTGGAGCCGAATTGCCCAGGGGCAAAAAGCAGATCATGCTTTTTTTTTTTAAAGAGGGAAGTGGGTGTTGAAACAAAGCCATCGTTTGCTGATCGGGGAGAGAGCTAAAGGAGGCTGCCTAGTAGGGGGAGGTAAAGACAGTAAACTTGCAAAGGGGGGGGGACAGGAAAATTAAAGCAATAAGGAAATTAGAAGAAAAGGAGAAGCAAAGAAATTAGAAGCAAAAAACTGTTCCAGCTAAGGAAAAGACTCTAGGGCAAACAAGAGGGAAGGGAGTGTTGAAAGGAAGCAGCTGATCGGTGGGATAGGAAGAGAAATAAGGGAGGCTAGCGGAGGCTGCCTGGGAGGGGGGAGGTAAAAGCCCATGGATCCTCAGGATTTTTGCACTGGGTCACCCCAAATTCACCATCAGATCACATAGCATGTCCATGGCTACAGCCTGCACCCAAAAAATCACACACCCACTGTTTCGTGGGGCCGCAATGGCGCAAAAACGTGGTTATAAAGCACGGATCCACATGGATCCTCAGGATTTTTGCATTGGGTCACCCAATGAGCTCCATCTTCCCTGACCATGAACCATAAAGACTGTGCCAGATGAACCCCTTTCTGAAGGCTTTTCCATAACTGGGGTGCTACTATTGAAAAGGCCCATTTCCTAGTGGTTATCTGCCTCCTTTCATTTGGTCAGGGTGCCCTGTCTGAAATGATGATTAAGGTTGGGATAGACATAAGGAAGGCACTCTTGCAGGTAACCTGGTTCCAAGACAGAGGGGGCTTTAAAATTGGGCCCAAAAGTGGAGAGCATGTGACAAGCAAATGCATATGGACAAAATACCCAGTCCCAGCTAATCATTTTGCAACCCTGTTCTGGACCTGCTCCCACTTCTGAACTGTTTGCCACACAATTTTTTTTTATGCGTTTGTTTTTATGTGAAACATTTTTTAGCCTGCTGTTCATAAAAACGATTGCCAGGGTGTTATATCCATAAAAACCACAGAACATAAAAATGCAATAATAAAACTTTTAAGGATGCAGTGAGATCACTAAAACGTATTTAAGAGGACAATCTCTGCATCAGCGGAACAAGCAACAATTTGTTGTTGTTGTTGTTTAGTCGTTTAGTCGTGTCCGACTCTTCTTGACCCCATGGACCAGAGCACGCCAGGAACCCTGTGGGGTAGGTCAGGTTGAGAGACAGAGACTGGCCAGGGTGGCCCAGTTAAACTCAGTCCACAGAGGGCAAAGCTTTTTACTAAAGCACCTACCCAAGAGGGCAAAGTTCAAGGTGCACCATGCTCTCAACAATCAAGCTAAATACAAAGCATGATCTAGAAACCAGGTCAGGAAGCAATCCAAGGTCCAGAGTAGAAGCACCCAACTGCCATTGCTTTAATACAGCTGAGTTGGTAGAACATGAGATTCTCACTCTCAGGGTAATGGGTTTGAGCCCCGTGTTGGGCAAAAGATTCCTGCATTGCAGGGGGTGAGCTAGATGACCCTAGTGGTCCCTTTCAGCTCCATGAACTTGGGCCCAAATTTTTGGTTGCTGGTGCTCTGGAGGACTGGGGGATTGCCCAACCTTCTCTTCTGACAGCTCCAGGAGTTAGTCAGCAGGTGTCATCCCAGAGGGCTCCTCAAGAAGATCTCAGCAATGGATTCAGGGGCCCCTGCCTATTCCACACTGTATGATTGGTACTCAATAATTTGACTACATTTCACACAATACTGCAATATCTGGGAATATTCTTTAGGGACGTTTTCAGGCTAGAAGAGAATAAAGAACGTGGTGAGCTGCAATCAGAGATGGAAACATTGCTTTCCTGAGTTTATCTTTCATACTACACTTTATTTCTCTGTAGGAGAGAAGCCTGGAAGCTGTCCAGTCGTAACTCCTTCAGGCTGGACCCCCCTAATAAATGTGATGTTGACTATGAGTGCCCTAAAAATAAGAAGTGTTATGAGGGGATATGTAGCAGAGACTGCTACCCGGCAATTTTTGGTACTGTAAACAACACTAATAGGAGGCGGGTCATGTTTGTTCCACTTAACAGCTGGGAAGTGATAGGGACTATTCCTCCAAGGAAAGTGATTTCAGAAACAGGAAACATTGCTGCTTGTGTTCTGGGATGCCCCCGAAAATTCTGAAGGTTGGGCTAACCTTCCAAGAAGAAGCATAGCATTGTACTTGGAGGACACAACTTTTCCAATAGTTGTGTTGCACTCCTGACAAATGACATCAGGTGATGGACAGGTGGACGATGCTTGACCAAAGTAGTCCCTTTTAGCATTGGAGCATGGCCAGTGGAGGGTTTGCCACATTCTAATCCAGCCCTTTGTTAATGAAGTGGTTCCTTACCACTGCCCTACCATGATGGGAAATGACCTGGAATGAGAACAATACCAGCAGCTGTGCCCAGGCAATTGACATTGACAATCCAAGCGTTTTAGTACTTTAGCATATTGTTAGGTCTCCTTACTTTATGCATATGCAGCTATACTTAGATTTGGAACCTGATCTTATTTCGACATTTCCGTGCCAGTAAAAGCAATCCCATATCAAAGAAAGAACCAGGACAATCCTTGTAGGGACTGGGCCTACAGTCTACATGTGAGAGAAAATGGGGTTGGCTAAGCAGAAGAGGCAAACGAAAGCAAGTAAACACATTAGATATGCTAGATATGCAAAGTAAATGCTGATGTTTAGGAGAAGAATCAAGTCTTACTGTAAATAATACCAGACATGATAGGGTCACCTTCTTCTTACAGGCAATCCATTATTATTCATGGTACATAACAAGTTATATTGCAGTTGTATATTACTGTAAATCCAATCATGAATAACCACAACCTAGTTCTATATCTAGAACCTATTGAATTATTGCCGTGCTTTCAGTGTCCATTAGGTCCTGAGTCTTCCACCAGAGCTATAACATGTCACAAGAATTAGAGTTATCATGTGCACTAGGGCAGCCAAGGCCAACAATTATTCTTCTATAGCCTTCAGATGTGGCATCAGACTTGTTAATCAACATTGAACCATTCAGAATGTGAATAACATTCATGCTATAGCTATAGTTTGTGATGGGTGTATTTAATTCAGTAGATCTTTCTTTCTCTTTCTCAGAACCCAGCACCAACGTGAATTAAGCTGTTTCACCCATAGTCATTCCTGAGGTTAAAAGTCAGCAGTCAAGTATAGAAGGAAAATCCAGCTGAATGATTCATCGATTTTCTCTTTGGAAGTAGTAAATCAGGAAGAAGTGCTCGGTGTTTGAAGACGTGGTCTCTTAAGTATGTGATGGTTGTGATTTGTAAAGGAAAATAATAAATTCTCCATTCATGTCTTCAGCTTCACATCCCCTGTCAAGCTAACTCTTCAGATAAACTGCTGCTGGTGTCCCATATAGAACAGCACTTGCCAACTCATTACCAGTGATGGGACTAAAGCTTCACCAGAGTCTCAAACATTTGAGGGGAACCAGGTTGGGGGAGGCTGATTTGGATAAGCAACACAAGTCAAATACCCTGGATACGGCTGAGTGAAAGCTACTGCAGCTTCTAATTTTTTGCCTTTTACTAGGGATGCCTTTGAAATGCTTTACCATTTTGGTTTTGGATTGAAATCCAGCAGTTTTGAAATGGCAAAATATTTCATTGAGTAACGTAGGGGAAGCAAATGTGGTACCTTCTAGATCAGGGGTAGGCATCCTAAGGCCTGTGGGCCGGATGTGGCCCAATCGCCTTCTCAATCCGGCCCGCGGACTGTCCAGGAATCAGTGTGTTTTTACATGAGTAGAATGTGTCCGTTTATTTAAAATGCATCTCTGGGTTATTCGTGGGGCATAGGAATTTGTTCATTATTTTTTTCAAAATATAGTCCGGCCCACCACATGGTCTGAGGAACGGTGGACCGGCCCACGGTGGAAAAAGGTTGCTGACCCCTGTTCTAGATGTTGCTGAACCACAACTCCCATCACCCCTGTCCATTAGCTATACCATTAGCTGGGGCTGTTGAGAGCTGGAGTCCAGCAACAGATGGAAGGCACCACATTGTCTACTTTTGGTATCATGGGATCTGAATGAGGCGAGAACCTTCAAAGGGCAGGTGCAGCATTTTTTCCTTTCCTCCCCCCCCCCCCCCAAATCAAACCAAATTACTTTAATTTAATACAATTTTGATAAAAAACAGGTTTCCCACTCCTGTTGCAAACATGTCAGTCATTTCCTCCTGTAGCCGCATCAACTCTTATTTAATGTCCAGTTGATCCGTCACTTGGAGCCAACTGATGAATCCCAGGTAAGATCCTCCCCCTATTGTGTGGGCAGGTAGTCCCTCCCCCTACCTGGCTCGATCATCTTGGCAAAGCCTCCCCAGGTGAGATTGGGCAACTGAGGTAGGCGGAGACCTCCAGGTATCCTACCTGGGCTAGGTGAAGCCAAGCCTGTGCTACTGGTGCCGCATAGGGTCCAGGGGGCTGCATGCGACCACACAAAGGGTGCCCACCATTTAATGTGGGGAGCGGTCATTCTTGCAGCTGACATGCTCCCCCCTTACAAATAGCGCCTCTGTTACATCTTATAAATATAAAATCCATATACATTGTTGTTTCAGACCTGGTGTGCTGGGAGAATTAATTACTATCTTCCATTGTTCAGTTCTTTGCAGTGTATCTGGCTGGTACTAGGTCACATTCCATTCCTTCCGCTGTTCACCAACTAGCGTACAGGCTGCGGCCATAAATAACTCACAGAGTGCATGTCTGGTCTCTGCCATTAAAATTCCACTCTGGAGTTCTTGATCAGCACACAGCTAAAGACAAAATCTTTTTTTAAAATTCAGCCTCTTGCCAGATTTATTCAGCATCTGCTCATTCTTCTTGCTCTGCATTGCTCCCTCACACTCCTGGTCCAATCCTAAGATAATTTTAAATAAAGTCCATTCAACCTCAGTCGAGGGGGGAGGGCACAATAAAACCTTGTTAAATTCATTGTTTACCTGACGAGACTGGCTGGTTCTGAAAAGCCACCTGAAGGGATGTTACATCAGACATCCCGAGGCATTGTGGGAAATTTGAAATGGTGGGCAGCTTCCCAGAATTAGCTGCAGACACCAAATTAGCCCACAGGTAGGGATCAGGCAAGTGGGAAGGCCAAAGTTTAGACCGTGGCAGGTGCCTGAGAACACCAGGTGCTCCTGTCTGGATGCAGGCTGGTATATAATAATAATAATAATAAAAATAATAAAAATAATAATAATAATTTATTATTTATACCCCACCCATCTGGCTGGGTTTCCCCAGCCACTCTAGGCGACTTCCAACCAAATATTAAAAACAATACAGCACCAGACATTAAAAACTTCCCTAAACAGTTGTCTTTTAAAAGTAAAATAGTTGTTTATTGTCTTGACATCTGCTGGGAGGGTGTTCCACAGGGCAGGCGCCACTACTCAGAAGGCCCTCTGCCTGGTTCCCTGTAACCTCATTTCTCACAGCGAGGGAACCGCCAGAAGGCCCTCAGCGCTGGACCTCAGTGTCTGGGCAGAACGATGGAGGTGGAGACGCTCCTTCAGGTATACTGGACAGAAGCCATTTAGTGCTTTAAAGGTCAGCACCAACACTTTGAATTGTGCTCAGAAACGTACTGGGAGCCAACGAAGATCTTTCAGGACCGATATTATATGGTCTTGGTGGTAAAAGTCTTCTTCCTGATACTCTGGAAAGTCGTTGTCATGAGGTCAGTAATACTAGGTCAGGTGGAGTAATGAGAAGACTAATTATAAGGCAGCTTCTTATGTTCCTGGATGAATATCCAAAGAAGGGAGGTGTCACCACCTTTCTGCAAGTGAAACAGTTTTTTGAGTTTTGATAGCAGCAGGTGTTGGGAAGTAGCTTTTCTTTGCAAGAGAATACCAAGGTTATGTCACTCAAGAGTAGACCATATCAAATTTTGAGGCAGCAGGGCGGGCGCCAGTCACAAAATGACTACCATGTGAGGCATGACATAACATAAAATTAAAGAGAACACAGTCCTTGCTGCTCCCCAAGCCCCAGACTATCTCATGCTTACCATGGAAAGTCAACTACGTCCTGCTAATTCTGATTGTGGAGGTACAGTTGTTAAAGACACAAGAATCCTGATTTCCCCTGTCCCAATCTCAAAACCAAAGACTAAGCTACTATCCTGTACCCACTTGTGTAGCGTTCATTGCAGAAAATAACTTCTTGAGAGTACCTGATCTCAGACCAATCCACCACATGATAGATCCATCCTGGTTGCTAGGGAAAGTAAAGGTAAAGGGACCCCTGACCATTAAGTCCAGTCGTGACCGACTCTGGGGTTGCGGCACTCATCTCGCTTTATTGGCCGAGGGAGCTGGCGTACAGCTTCTGGGTCATGTGGCCAGCAAGACTAAGCCACTTCTGGCGAACCAGAGCAGCGCACAGAAACGCCATTTACCTTCCCGCCGGAGCGATGCCTATTTATCTACTTGCACTTTGACGTGCTTTCGAACTGCTAGGTTGGCAGGAGCAGGGACCGAGCAACGGGAGCTCACCCCGTTGCGGGGATTCGTACCGCTTCTGATCAGCAAGTCCTAGGCTCTGTGGTGGCAAATTACACAGATTGCAGGTACTACTATAAAATGAGGCGGAAGCAGGGAAAGTGAACTAAAGGGGAAGGGAGAACAGATGCTCTTTAGGACATCCACTTGTCATAGCTCTGCATTCACTCATTGGCTAAAAACACGGGCAGGAGGAAACATCTAGGCTTAGGTGACTTCACAGAAAGCTTAGAAGGGCGCCAGCACATTTTGGTTCGTAACTTTACTCCCCATTAAAAAATGGGAGCTCAGAGTTTGTGAGTGCCAATGAAGGTCTTCATAGGCAGCAGGCTGGCACGCACACACCCACACCCATTTTAAGTGATGACTATACATCCAAAAATATTTCTCAATTAAAAGCTTATAGTTTCTGGCTTAGGGTTGCCTGGTTTCTGTCCCCCAAATTTAGGCAGCCTAATTTGCACATTATGCAAACCACGCAGAAGGTTGAATGAGGTTTCAGATGACTTTTCAATCCATATTACCCCCCATGAAAGCTGTTTACAGGAAGAAAGGCTGTGCTGACATTGACCTCCATTGCCTGAGTGAATCACTCTGAACATGACCAGGAAGATTTGGGAGGTAGCACACCCAGAAAGGAGCCAATTCCTGCTCCAAGAAGTACGTAGGATTTCCCCTTTCCTGAGTCTGTACTCATTGCACTCAGTAATAACTGCCCAGTTCCAGATTGAACTACTGTAGGTCAGAGGCTCATAGTTACCAAATGCAAGAGTATATATAGAGCATAGGTGAAATAAGGATTGGGTAATGGATTGACATCTGCAAGGCATGTTTGGGTGACAAACATGGGGCAGGGCTCCTCCCTCTTGTGATCCAGTGCCACCCTTTTAGCAAGCTTAAATCTCACCAGCCTGACCCAGTGATGAACATTCGGAACCAGATTCTGAAGGCACCATGAAGGCCAGGAGCATCTTAGCCTTGGTGGGACTGCTGGCCCTCTGGACACAGCTCTCACCTGCATCTTGCATGCCACCACTAGGTAGGTTTTGAATGAAGCTGCTTCTCCTTCTGTCTGATACCAGAGTTGTATATAAAATATATTTTGCTGATCAAGCCATCTATTACCTTTTGTGGGAGGTGGGTTATTGGTTGGTTTGTCTTTGTTATGTATTTATGTGAGCCAGTGTGGTGTAGTGGTTAAGAGCAGTAGTCTCGTAATCTGGTGAACCAGGTTCGCTTCCCCGCTCCTCCACATGCAGCTGCTGGGTGACCTTGGGCCAGTCACACTTCTTTGAAGTCTCTCAGCCCCACTCACCTCACAGAGTGTTTGTTGTGGGGGAGGAAGGGAAAGGAGAATGTTAGCCGCTTTGAGACTTCTTAGGGTAGTGATAAAGCGGAATATCAAATCCAAACTCTTCTTGTTTTCTCATTTTGTATTTTTATGTTGTACACTGCTCTGTGATCTTTGGACGAAGGGAGGTATATAAATTTAATTTTCAAAAAATGAAATGAAATGGTACTGTTTACCAGTTTCTGAGGCCCTTGCTTCAAGTTTCATTGCTCTCAGTGTGAAAGACTTGTGGTAGGACAACAAGGAACAATTTTCTGGCAAAGGACCTGCTGGACCTTTTGGATCATTTACTGGCAAACAGTACTTAGCTCTGCTCAGGAATTCTAACAAACTCCCCCGCAAATAATAAGAGTTAAATGGACTTTTTTTTAGTTCCTTACGCAAAAAATATATATGCAGATTTATTCTAATGATGTTGAGTAAACAATAGAATGCCATCCTGCCAAAACTGGTTAAAATCAGTGCAGTTTTGAAAGGTTCGATCTATAATCTTGACTGCAAATGGTGACCAATTGTAATCAAAAATTCTCCTCAATATCAGAAACTGTCATGGAAAATTTGCTTCCTCTTGTGCTTCAGATGAAATCCTGTAGTTCCAAGTCCACTTACAAGGGCTGCATTCAGAGGAAATCACAAACAAGTTAACAGTATTCTCCCTTGTGAGAAAGAATCTCAATATGCTTTTTTAAAATAAATGTTTCTGTAAACTAAAACATAAAAATATATTTGCATGTCCTGCAGGTGGCTAAGTTAGAACCTTTCTCTGTTGCATTGAATTTTCAGTGTGTAGCAGCTTCTCTCTCTGTTTTTAATCAAGGAGCAGTGCACTATATACACCTTTAGGCGCCAGGCAAAAATGTTCCTTTTTAACCTGCCCTTTGCCTGACCTGATCTACATCCTATGCCCTTTTTAAAATGCTGGCTCTTTTTAGTGTTTTTTTATTGGGTTGCTGTTTGTATTTTGATTCTATGTATGTGATCCTTTATGTCAGTGATGGCCATACTTGGCCCTCCAGATGTTTGGGGGCTACAGTTCCCATCATCCCTGACCACTGGTCCTGTTAGCTAGGGATGATGGGAGTTGTAGTCCAAAAACAGCTGGAGAGCCCAGTTTGGCCATCACTGCTTTATGTGAACTGCCCTGAGATCTTCGGGTATAGGGTGGTATAGAAATTATATAAATAATAATAATAATCCCCTATCGCCCTTCCAGCTGTGTGAAGTGGTACACATGTACCACTTCTCAAGCAGGTCTTCTTATACTTGCACCGAACCATTTACTGAAGAATTGTATTCTTCCCATACATTCCCATCTTCATTCAACTTCTGCTCATTCAGCTTTCGATTCCCACGGGCTGATTTTGTGATGCAACCCGCAATCACCCAAAGTCTAGTAACCATTAACTCAATGGCTGGTTATGTATAATTCACATAGGACTTTCCTGTGCACATAATGTTTTGCTATCCTTGTTTCATTTAACTTCACAGCAATGCTTTTAGGCATAGTATATTTGGGTATTTGTTAACCCTGCTATTTTCTACTTCCAGAAAAATTTGGAACTTGCCCCCCAAATCCATTCAAATGCAGTGTAAAGGGACAGGATGCTTGCAACCATGACTATGACTGCGAGGGGATTCAAAAGTGCTGCTACTTCAATTGTGGCAAGATTTGCAGAAACCCACAAGGTATGGTGTATGGCTAAACCTGCTTCTTCTGTGTTGGCTTTTTGTGGCTGATTTCCTACGATACGTTGTCATTTAGTGCTTTAGGTTAGCCTGAGACACAGTAATCTGCTGAAGGCAATCAAATGAACTTTATGTTTAAATAAGGATCTGTAGTTAGGATTCCTCAGAACAAAACCAATACTCTATCCATTCCCCATGAGTAGAAACCGCAGGTAGGAAAAAGCTATGTAAGGATCTGTGAGGCTCTAAAGTATATAAAGAACCATTGCGGATGCTGATTGCAATTAGATAGCTGCCAGAATTCATAATAACTGACCCACTCTGGCAGATATATAAGATGAAATAGACAATGGGCTACCTTTTTAATCATTGCTACATCCCCCAAAATGGGAAGATAAACACAAAATGTCACTTTGTACAAAGCATAACTTTGATACAAAGTATTATCTTCCATAATTGTAACATAGAAACAAAGTGTTACTCTCAATGGAAGAGCAAAGGCAGCCTCTCTCTATCAACAGCTGGTTCTTTGGAATTCAATTTGGGCACCACCCAAATTCCCAAGTTCTCTCTCTCTTAAGAACACAACACCTGTCTTCATTGGAGAAGAGCTTCTACTTTCAGCAATTACAGTGGACGCTCGGGTTGCGAACGTGATCCATGTGGGATGCACATTCACAACCCGCAGCATTCGCAACCTGCAGCGGTGCATCTACACACACGCGGGTTGCGACTCATCTCTTCTGCGCATGCGCAAAGTGCAATTTGGTGCTTCTGTGCATGTGCGACCGCCGAAACCCGGAAGCAACCCATTCCGGTACTTCCGGGTTTTGGCAGTGGATGGCGCTGTGGGTTAAATCACAGAGCCTAGGACTTGCCGATTAGAAGGTCGGCGGTTTGAATCCCGGCGACGGGGTGAGCTCCTGTTGCTCGGTCCCTGCTCCTGTCAACCTAGCAGTTTGAAAGCATGTCAAAGTGCAAGTAGATAAATAGGTACTGCTCTGGCGGGAAGGTAAACAGCGTTTCCGTGTGCTGCTCTGGTTTCGGTGTTCCATTGCGCCAGAAGCGGCTTAGTCATGCTGGCCACATGACCTGGAAGCTGTCTGCGGACAAACACCGGCTCCCTCGGCCTATAGAGTGAGATGAACATGCAACCCCAGAGTCGTCTGCAACTGGACCTAATGGTTTGGGATCCTTTTACCCTTTACCTTTAACCCAAAAAAACGCAACCTGAAGCATCTGTAACCCGAAGTATGACTGTAGTGACATCAGGTTACATGTGAATCTCAAGGTCATTGATGTTACCTTTCTCAAGATTCACATGTAACATGATGTTACTAAACAGTGGCCACAAGGAAGAAAGATTTGCCATTTAGTAACACAAATTGTTACCTAACAACATAGGTGATGAATAATCGAGCAAGGAGTCTCTGACCCATGCAATTAGTTTCAGGCAAAAATCCGTGAAATTTCGCCAAAGTGTTTGTACCTTGGAACTCTGTTAAATGGGGACTCCTCCTGGACATTGCAACCTAAGGTATCATTCATGAACTTGGCTTGAGGGGCTGCCCCTCTCTATGTTTAGGGAAGCTTTTAATGTTTAATAGATTATTGTATTTTAATATTCTGTTGGAAGCCACCCAAAGTGGCTGGGGAAACCCAGCCAGATGGGAGGGGTATAAATAATAAATTATTATTAATATTATTATGCCCATCTGTGGGGCTGCACTACATAGGATTCATTCATTCATTTTTTGCATTTCTATCCCTCCTTTTAAAAAAAATCCCTACAATAACCCTGAGAAGTAGGTTAGGCTAAGAGGCAGTGACTGGCCCAAGGCCACCCAGTGAGCCCCATAGCCAGTTGGGGATTTGAACCCTGGTTTCCCAAGTCCTAGTCTGACACTCTAACCACAAGGCCACGCTGGATCTTGATGAAATGTGGGGCTTCGAACATGCATAGGTGAGCTAGTTATCTGATGCATTTGTCTGGCTCTGGAAACACAAAACGAACAGTCATGTGGTGGGTTTTCTCTGTTACAGAAAAAGCTGGCAGCTGCCCCATCCTTCCATATTTCTGCTCCGTCCCAGAAGGAGATCTTTGCAGCAGTGATTACGATTGTCCAGAAAAGAAAAAGTGCTGTTATGTAAATTGTGGAAAAAGTTGTGTAGACCCATGAGAAAATAAAGGTATTGCCTGTGTCTCTCTTCTCGTCCTTCCCTAGTATCTCAGTTAAAATCAGAGGGTTTTCTTATCCAACTCCCTGCAATGTAGAAATCACAACTAAGGAATCCTTTTATTCATTTGATATGAAAATTCTCCTGACAAGGGAACTTTTGTCAGCAACTCCTGACTGAAACAAAGAAAACACAAAAGTTTTTCTAAGTTTTTCTGATGGAACACAGTCTGATGGAATATATGAATAATTTCCTAATGAAGGATGTTCTGCAACAAATATCATTCTTTTGCAAAAAAATATAAAATATATAAATATTTTTAAAATCGTTTAACTGTTTGGTATCTCTTGCTCTGTGGAGTTAATGTGACAACAGTGACTTAATTCCACTTTGCTAGGAAGGATAAATTGATAGTATTTCCTTCAGAAGAGCATTTTCTGGGTATTGGAAAATTGTATTATTTGCCACAAGCAGAAAGCACTTAAACGCCTTCACATTTAAAGCACAGCACATGGGTTGGTACCTGCACGCAAAATAAATCTCAAAACAAGAGTTTCAGGAAGTTTGACTGAGGAAGGTTCATAAATAAACTGAACCAAATTTCTTCTCCATTCCCAATATCTGCCCCCCAATATCCCAATATTTGTTATATTTACATTGTAATTCTTGGCCTACTGTATATCCTTCCAGATATAAATTGCCAGCAGCTGTCATTGTCCTGTCATCTTGGGGTGAAAGCTGCTTGCAGGGAGCAAATTCTGAATCATCCATCCATTATTCAATTGTCTCTTTGAGCTCAGAGAAACTATGGAATGGGTGGTAATTCTAATTGCCATTCTAAAATATTGTAGCTGTAGTGTTTGTGGTCTGTCCAGACATGCCCGATCAGTAATTGAAACTCCCCGCCTAGGGAGCAGTTCCTGCCATAGCTAAGTGAGAACTTGTTGGAGTCTTAGCTTTGTCTGTGCAGCAAGTGGTAGCTGCTATATGGAGTTGTTATCAGAAATCAATACTACTGACACTTTCCTGCTGCTTCCTAGCATTTGGGAAAGCCTGCTGGTTTCCTCACACAGTGAGTACCCTTCCCAAGCCCGCAAAAGTGTTTTGAGGGGGGGAAACATAATTCCCTGCAAAATGTGAGTAATGTAAAAAAAATAAAAAATAAAAAGGGTAAAGGTAAAGGACCCATAAGGGATGCAGGTGGCGCTGTGGGTTAAACCACAGAGCCTAGGACTTGCTGATCAGAAGGTCGGTGGTTCAAATCCCCGCGATGGGGTGAGCGCCCGTTGCTCGGTCCCTGCTCTTGCCAACCTAGCAGTTCGAAAGCACGTCAAAGTGCAAGTAGATAAATAGGTACTGCTCCAGCGGGAAGGTAAATGGCGTTTCCATGCTCTGCTCTGGTTCGCCAGAAGCGGCTTAGTCATGCTGGCCACATGACCTGGAAGCTGTATGCCAGCTCCCTCAGCCAATAAAGCGAGATGAGCGCCAACAACCCCAGAGTCGGTCACGACTGGACCTAACGGTCAGGGGTCCCTTTACCTTTACTAAAGGACCCATGGATGGTTAAGTCCAATCAAAGACAACTATGGGGTTGCAGAGCTCATCTCACTTTCAGGCTGAGGAAGCCATCGTTTGTCCACAGACAGCTTTCTGGGTCATGTGGCCAGCAGGACTAAACCGCTTCTGGTGCAACAGAACACCGTGACGGAAACCAGAGCACACAGAAACGGCGTTTACCTTCCCGCTGCAGCTGTGCCTATTTATCTACTTGCACTGGTATACTTTCGAACTGCTAGGTTGGCAGGAGCTGGGACAGAGCAACAGGAGCTCACTCTGTTGTAGGGATTTGAACTGCCGACCTTTCAGTCAGCAAGCCCAAGAGGCTCAGTAGTTTAGACCACAGAACCACCCACGCCTCTGAGAATGTGAGTAACTGAGCATTTATTGCATGAAATTGTGTTTGCCTACAAAAGAGCCCATCACTCATGTATGGTGCGGGCCGAAGCCCCCATGGTCCCTAGGGGTTGGCTCCTGTGTTATGGGTGGAATTCAGCACCATGCTCTTCCAATCGTTCCATCTATTGAAGCATTTGAGCTCCGCTTGGATGCTTTTCTGAGGGCTCTCCCCAACTGTCCTCAAAACACTTTTTGTGGGGATGGCTAGGTCAAGGAAGGGGCCAAGCCCTGTTGTGCAAGCAGAACTCCTTTCACTGGGCTTTCCCTGACAGGACTCATGATGCCAATCCCACCCTTAATTTATTCCCACCCCCAAATGTCAGTGGCAGGTGGGGGGAAATCATGATCAGGGGTGCAGTGAGACAGGACTATTCAAGCCATTCTCCACACACTGAAGTCCAAATGCAAACCACCCCACAAATACAACATTCGGCGCTGGGGAATCGGAGACTGCCTGCCCACCTACAGATTGTTTTTTTGGATCACAGACACCTGGAAGCAGAGTTGAAGTTTCCTCTTGAGGTTTGGAATGAAAGGAAAAGCTGATATCAGCACATTTCCTGTGAAATCTCAGGTGTTGGACCACTGCAACTTCCACGCTTCTCCCAGATATCTCATTGTCAGTGTCAGGGTTTTTTTTTACACTCCATGATGATTGAATTGCTCCATGGAATACACCAGATAAGCTATCCATGTTTGCTGCTCTTTTTGACACTGGGAAGTTTTGTAAGGCTTTCCAGTGTTGCAGGAGAGTGTCCAGAGAGATCTTTTGCAATGCTGATTAAGACAGAAATGACCACATCTTCTGCTGTTTTATAGCAGCCATAAGTCAAGGGGTTCAACAGACAAATATATAAGCCTAGGGAGGAGTGACGTTTTTGCACTGGAAGAAGACAGCACGGTCTTCAAGGAGAAAACAACATACCTCCCACTTTGGAGAGCTGACAAGATATTTGGGAAAGTTTAAACCCAGGCTTCAGCCTTAGTCATCTTCAGGGACAATGTCATGAAGACGTTGACCACCTTTCTCATTGCGGAGGTATCAGTCTGGGAGCTACTTCTGTGCAGAGTGTGATCTGACTCTGACTGCACAGGAATGCGTATGAAATACACAACTGCAAAAAGTATGTTCAGGTAATAAGACCCACACCTAAATAGGAAAGGAATGTAGCTCAGTGGCAGAGCACATGCATTTCAGAAAAAGGTATCGGGTTCAAATCTCAGCAACTCCAGGTGAAGGAGGTGAGGACAGGTGACCCCACCTAGGCCCGAAGTCACCCCCCCCAACCAGGCCTCAAAACTGTCCAAAATTCCCTTTCTCCTAAAAATCCAAAACAGCTTTCTCTGCTCTTCGCTGCTTTTCTCACAAGATGCATAGGAAAAATGTTATTCTTTTATCAGTACAAGAAGGCTTCAAAAGGCTAATGAATAGGCTCTGTTCAAAGCAAGCCTGAGAACTGACTTTTATCTCATTCAGTTGCAACATCTTTGGACATGCTGAACCGCGAGACTCCTCGACCCCCTTGGCTTCTCACCCCCCCTTCCCAAAGACAGGCGCTTTCTGTACATGCTCAGGAACCTCAACATGGGGCAGGACTCCTGAAGAGGGAGGAGAAAGGGGAGGGAACTGGAAGGGGAATATATGTTCTGTGCAAATGACTCTGAACTCGTGCTTGTTTTGAACTACCACACTTGCTCCTTCTTCCAGTTAATGGATGGTAGAAACAAAGCTTTTCTCTGAAACTATTCCTTGAGTGTCTGTTGACTCCCATCTCCCTTTCCCGGGCGCAATATTTTTCCCACCCGAGGGCAAAGCCTCATAAGGCTACACAGGTAGAGCTATTATGTTGCACCTCATTTTGGACTTTGGCTGTGGTTCTGGCACTGCCCCTGTTAATTCCTGGCTGCATTGCCTGTGTGCTACCTGAATGAGGACAATGCCCTCTGGTTACCACTGGCTCATGTGAATGAGCCCCAAATAATGCATGCTGATGAAGACTAATACAGAGGGAATGGTAAAGGTAAAGGGACCCCTGACCATTAGGTCCAGTCGTGACCGACTCTGGGGTTGCGGCGCTCATCTCGCTTTATTGGCCAAGGGAGCCAGCGTACAGCTTCCGGGTCATGTGGCCAGCATGACTAAGCCGCTTCTGGCGAACCAGAGTAGTGCACGGAAACGCCGTTTACCTTCTCGCCGGAGCGGTACCGGAGCACTTTGACGTGCTTTCAAACTGCTAGGTTGGCAGGAGCAGGGACCAAGCAACGGGAGCTCACCCCGTTGCGGGGATTCGAACCGCCGACCTTCTGATCGGCAAGTCCTAGGCTCTGTGGTTTAACCCACAGCGCCACCCGCATCCCCAGAGGGAATGGTACTGCATGAAATTTCTTGCTCTGGAATCGCTCCCAGTTCTTAGAGAACAGTCTGAAACTTATTAGCATGTTCATTAAAGAGGTGGTGAAAGAGAGCAATTGGCCGTTGGCAGAGGCTGGCTTTCAGTAATCAACTTCCCTGTTTCTGCCTTGTGGGGAAACCTCTTTCCCAAGCTTGACAGTTGCGTTTTCCTTGCCAAATCAGCCCGAGAAATGAAGCAAATTCACAGTTGCAGCTAGGACCAGGGACCTATACAAATACAACTAGTCCTTTCTCCAGACCAAAGGTATGAAAATGCTAGCTTCCCATCAAACTTAAAAGCCACATTCTGAGGGTGCCATGAAGACTCTTAGCAGTTTGGGCAGAGAATATGGCAGTATTGGTACGTATCTATTCTTTAAATGTGTATTGGCCATTTCATCACACATCTTAAGCTGTCACCATCAATCCCTCTCTTGGGAAATGTTTGGTAAGATTGCTAAGAATTTGAGGTAAGTCTTGTAGACCCCCAACAAAGTTTTCTCAATTTTCCAGCTATATGAAATGGCAGCTAATGTGCTGTGTGTCCCCTTTTCCCAAAGCTACGCACAAAAAAACATAAATTTCTGCCTGGAACCCTCTGCAAAGTGTGCCAGTTGAGACACAAGTGCTAACCATCCCATGAGGTTGGCTGCC